CTTTGATAGCAACATGTCAGATGTGTAGTCAATCAGCTCTGTCTGCTTCAGGCATTCACTACCGCCACTCACATAAAGGACTCTTCCTTCAGCTAATATCCATGATTGCAGAAAGGATGAGTTCCTCCCTGGAAAGATAGAAGGGGTGGAAAGCAGGCCAGAGTTTATACTGGGTCTTTATTACATATGCCTACAGTTATATTGTGCAAATGCATCCATTAATCTGCCAGTTATTTTGGTTTGCTCTATAACATGTCAGTTCTGTTCTGTTCCATCATGAGTCAAAGAAAAGCAGCAAGTCTTCACCTTTTTTTAAGAATGACTTAAGAGATTAATGGATTATTAAAACTAATCTTTCAGCTCTAATTTTCACCTGTTTGTGTGATAATGACATGTCATTAGGGATTGGGTTCAGTGGCTTTTTATTTAGTCTGAATCTACTTCAGAATCTGCTCATTGAACCTGAATCATTCATCACCTGTATCACCACACACACACACACACACACACACACTTGCTTGGCCAAAACAAAGTGTTAAGTGACAAAAATACTCACTCAATGGTCATGTGCCCTCTAGGCCCTGCTGCTCTCGGTTGTCTTTTCCTGTTTGTCTCCTGGATCCTGAAGAAGGTCTCTGGCACACCTCTGTCTGTCCAAGTGAGTAGTAAAAACCTGCATAATGTTAGCAACGCACACACACAGGCCCTCTCGGGGTTGGCGACGGCATCCAGCAGCAACTTCCCACGCTGAAATTCATTGCAGCAGAATGATTCAGTCTCTGTTGGCATCGGTAGGGTAATTTGAGCGAAAGCACCACCAATCGCTGTTTGGTCTCGGCAGCTCAGGTCCCCGCCAGCCATATCCTTTTCCACGACTAATGCGGCACCAGCCTCGGCCTCTTTTCCGCTGCTTTTTCTTCGGCTGTGCACTCCTGCACAAATAAATACGGCCGAATATCTGAGTCAGCCAAAGAAAGTGTGAAATGTGTCCTCGTGCACAACAACCTCTGCACTCAGTGGATATGGCATTTCTGCTGTTGGAAAACGTGGCTAGTTTGTAATACAAGCGAAGCGCGGCATATGGGACGCCCCGTGGCTACCCAGAGACTACAAATCCCAGCTGAATTAGCCTGTAGTTCTTTCTTGACACCAGATACATCACTGCAGACGTCAGATGATGGGCTGGTGCCGGAACAACAACAGATTTTTCAGCAAGAGAACTCAGCCAATCCAGCACGCACTGGCGAGTGTATTGCTTCAACTGCTGACAGAGTCACCATTAACGCTGATTTGACAGCCACATAAAACGTGGAGGCATTTTGCTTTGAGCTGGCCCGTGATCGTACATGTGATTTTACAAGGGATTTGTGATTCTTTTAGCTATAACAATGACAATAATTATTTAATAGGACATCCTAAAGGTGCTTTCAGGGTGAAGAAACCAGTTTCAAAGTGAGTGACATGTTGCAGCAGGAATACAGTCTTTTTTTCCAAGAGCAATTGGGTGAAATGATTAGCCTTGGTGGGGGTTTGCACTCTTAGCAAATGCTCTCCATTGTACATGTTCACGGTATAATCTTCAGAGTAGGCTGCAAGGTCGAAGTAAAGTATATTATAGTCTGTTCCTTCCGTATTCGGACTCCTATGCGTATTCATGCTGAAGGATACAGGTGGTGGAGGTGTATCTGTAATGTTTGCACTGTGTTCTCAAAGAGGTTTGTCTCATTTATTTCTCTCTCTCTTTCCCGGGAACAGCTGTGAGGAAGCCTTAAAAGGTCAAATAACTCTAAGTTAGGCTGCCTGAATGATAATAGGAGAGGACTTTTTCAGCATATTCTTTGTTGCATTTTTCAATTTTTATTTGATTAAGTTAAGCGCGCACTACCAATACAGCTGCTCCTAATAAAATTATATGTAGCTTATAAATCTGTGGATATTGTAACCACAGAGATAGCAAATGCGTGTGGAACATCAAGGGGAGACAACACGGCAACAGCTCTGATAATGGATCAGGTCATCAGAAAAACAAATCTCTACTTTCAGTTTTAAATGTGAATATTTGTTGCTCTTTGATAACAAAATAAATATATTATCACCAAATTCTGACATTGTTTAGACCAAACCATTAGTTGAAAAATAATCTGCAGCCCTAGTGGTACATGACAAAAGCAAAACACCAAGTAGAAATGTGTTCTGATCACGCAGACCACAAAGTCCTGTGTGGTTGCAACATTGACAGATGAAAAACAATATTGGGAGTATATCTGAGCAAGTGTGCACACTCAGTTTTTCTTTTTTCTTTATTGCACCAATCGTGGTTTATTTGTTGTTTGACTGTGTCTCTCATAGTGGCACAGGGGTAAAAAAAAAAAAAACAATTCTTCCCCTTGAGCACCCAAGAAGACATGGGGATAGAGGCAAAATACATTTGAGGTTTGTTTGGTATAATCATTTCTCGGAGCATGTTTATTCTCAGGCATTCGGGCACTGTTTTGTTAGTTTTGTACTCCAGGCTTATTCTTCAGAAAAGCCTGTAAATATGTTGTGCATAGATGGGAATACTATATGTAGCTACTGACTTGCTGAGATTCGACCGCATACATGCTTTGCACCATGAATGCTCTGATGTGAAATGATAAATGACTTGTCTGAAGCTCCAGCTCTAAAGAACCTTTTATCTGCTTAGATTACTTCAGGAAAGTCTGTCTTATCTAGTTGCCTTCACAGTAAAAATAATGTAACAGGGCCAGGCTAATGTGTGTTCTGCCGAGATGCACACTGTGTCCTCTCTAATATGTGAATCCCATGCATTTTTCACGATGCGGTTGATTACATTCTCTGGATGATTTTTCATATTTAATCAGCTCCAGGCGCTGTGGGTTTTACTTACACAAGAGTGGCCATTAATATGCAGTGTATCCACATCACAGACATGCATTTGCTCTGTTTTATGGACGTATGGAGTTGTAGCTTCAGTGTGCTTGGTGTTGGCGACGGTGATATTGACGCCTGAATCTGTTTATTGGGGGATTATTGATAAGCCTCTGATGTAACTTTAGCATTTTCATCTTCTGTAATGAGTTTTTATTGATATCTAGTTAGTGATTTATCTTCAAATCACACTGATTTAATCTCATTTTATACTGAAGCATCGCGAAGAAATAGCGAAAGCTGGAATGATTATACGGATCATAATTGCACCCAAAAGCAACAAAACAAGGATACTGCAATAATGTGGAACAGAAACATAAAATAACTCCTTAATGTGGGTACGCAGTGATTGGATGTACTCCTGTTTACCAGCTCAGCAGGTGATCTTCAGATAATATTTTATTCATTAATCACTGTCATCATCCAGCTCGTGCTCGCAACGCTCAATGGCAGACACCTGGCGACCTTTCAGGCAAGAATCCGCTGTGGGGAAAAGTCATTTTATTCAGCCGAGTCATCACTGATGTATCCCAGCCATGGAATTGTTGCTGTGTCACCCCTGCTCTGTCATGTTATGGAGAGCAAATACAAAACTCTCCTAAAGAAAAACACTTTCACCTCTTATTATAGAGAGAGAAAACAGGACGGCCTGTCGCCATCACCTATTTGCTTCTGCCTTGATGGCGTCCAATTCACATTGAATATAAACAGCCCATGTGTAATGTACCAGGGGATGATGGTCCTGCTTTGCGCTTTGTGGGATTGCAGCCCCGACTCCCTGCAGCCTTTGAGACGTGTTTGATGTCCTGTGACGCCAAAAGATGCTTCAATAGTTGGGAGGTTCAAAGCCATGCACACGGCCGTCCCCATGCATGTTAAACAGGACACATAAAAGAGTTGTATGGCAGCAAGTGCAGTTTACCAGTCATTTTGTTGAACACTGGTGATGAAAAGCTTAGCTGTTAATCCATCATGTTAAATAAAGATGTGTCGATCACGGCTGCCCTCTAAATGTCGATTAATAAAGCCATCAGTCAAGGAGCCTCCAATTCAAACCCCATGTTATCAGCTGAATCACTTTCCTTTTATTCAGCTGCGTCATAACACAGAAACACAGGAAAACAGCAGGGCAGGCTGCAAACTGGGCAGAGGCCATCATGCTATTATAATAGCAGTATTTGTCATGATTCTAGGTGAGGTGTATTGATGAAACAAGACTAACGCCCAGGCCATACCGCCTACCTCTACCTGTGTGTGACAGCTCAGCACGCCACAGCCGCCAGCCCTGTCTTTATACACTGAGTTTACCTTTGATAATGGCCATCAATAATACAATGCTCATGTTTCATGAATACTTTATTTAGATTTCATTAGAATATGGATAAAGGAAGTGTATATTATATTCTACAGATATAGACATTGTAATGTTGCTGGTATGATGTCCATGTGACTACCAACAGATCATTTTGTCTGCCTATTTTTTCTGAGAACTGCACATGTACACGGAAAACATAAGCAACACAGGAACCCTGGTGTCTACAAAATGTCATGGCAGTCTGTCCAGTGGTGTGATTATTGACATATTTCACATTGAACCAAAGTGGGGGCAGACAGACAGACAGACACACTCCTACAGACATTGCCAGAGCCATACCACTAGCATTTGTTTTCTGTAACGGCTTCTGTTTTGTTGTTATTCTGCCATTGATGCTGTGTGCCCGTGTTCATCAGCTTAGGTGAGAATCTCTGCTGGGAAACAACCACCGAAGAGCTACCTCACCTGGGTGTTACGGTGCCGTTCAATAACAACAGATTGTCAGATTGTGTAATAAATGTCTAGTGATTGTAGCACTACAACAATAGACAAATAAGTTGCTGCTCTTATGGTTTAAAACTGCAGCAAAACAATAAACAAGCTTTGGCCACAGCATTGGCACTTGAAGTGCACAGGAAAAAACTCAAAAAAGGGTATGGAAGAGAGCGACTCAGCGTGTCTTTGGTTGCGCAAGCAAATCGGCAAATCAGTGTCTCACTGTGCAGAATCATTGTTTTTGATTGACGGCCAAAGATTTTATCACGGTTTTCTCACGAATGTCAACTTTAATCCGGCATTTATGTTGTCTTGGACAGCTGTTATTATCAAGCATGGTTGGCGTCCAAAAAATGCAAAAAAAAAAAAAAATCATGACAACCAAATGTGGGACGGACAAAGGTAAATTAGCCAATTTTCTTTTGTATATTCTCCACCTTCCATTTTATTAGGTAAGGTTTAGTGTTTCCATGATGACAGTGTGCTCTGTGTTTAATGTCATGCAGCACACGGTGGACGGGTCCCATGATGTAGAGTTATTGCTCCCTTCCATCACTGAATGCATGGCAGTAGGCCTGCCATTTCCTGCACATTCATCACCATTAAGAGAGCAATCAGTAGTGCTGGAGATCAGCTTTGGCTATAGGAAGGATGCAATGTAGATGACAGATCCAGATCCCCCCCC